TGTGAAGGGCTGTAATGGAAAGGCTGATGATGATGAAAATATGAGGAAGTACAAAAAAATTAGAAGATTTGATTGCAATATATCATCATCATCATCATCATTACAGCCCTTCACAAGTCCACTGCTGAACATAGGCCTCCCCCAAAGAATGCCACAAAACACGGTCCTGAGCCACCTGCATCCATCGACTTCCTGCATGTCTTACCAGGTCGTCACTCCATCTCGTGGGGGGACGCCCTACACTTCGCCTACCGGTACGAGGCTGCCACTCGAGAACCTTTCTTCCCCATCGGTTGTCGGTTCTTCGAGCTATATGGCCGGCCCACTGCCACTTCAGCTTACTAATCCGTTGGGCTATGTCGCTCACTCTGGTTCTACTGCGGATATCCTCATTCCTAAGTTTATCACGCAGAGAAACTCCGAGCATAGCCCTCTCCATAGCTCGCTGAGCGACCTTGAGCTTCCTCATACGGCCAGCAGTGAAGGACCACGTCTCAGTTCCGTAAGTCATCACTGGCAACACGCACTGGTTGTACAATTTCGTTTTAAGGTTTTGAGGTATGATTGCAATATATAAAGACACGAAATTTTATAATAATTTTACAAAAATTATATTAAGTTAAGGTTAAGGCACCTTTTCTATCATGTCTAATGCAGTAGCCGAAAACTAAAATTCTTGTGGGCCGAAATTTAAAATTTGGGGCCGAAAACTAGCATTTTACATATTTTTCACATCAAAAATTATTATAAAAAAGAGATTTTTCTTGTAGCATCAATGAGTTACAAAAATGAAAACTACATTATGTAAGCTACAAATTAACATTAACAGCACTAGGCCAGCATAATGACAATTATTTTTTATAGTACCTTAAAGTTAACAACTCCACTAAAAGGCCGAAAACCAGCGCATCGACCCTACATTGATAAAATGCATATACGTGTGTACAACGCACATACTGAATTCAATGAACACGCACTACAATTTATGTAGCATTGTTTACACTTATTGCTTAGGTAAAAACAAAGACATTTAAGTAGTAGTAGTAAGTAGTATATATATATATATATTTTAAATCTCTTTGGGTAAAAACTAAAAACTCAATGACTGAATAGCGGCGAATGTGTTCGTTAGTCTACTTATTATATTTTAATTTGTAACAAAATTCCGATAATTAAATTTTATTAAGTATTTTTATAGGTATTATAAGTGAAATCTATTTTTTTTTTCTTATACCCTCCTTTTTTGTAAACTATGACAATGAGGTAGGTACTGATTATAAGTAGGTATAAGAAAGTTTTAGAAGGTCATTGGAATGACGATTTTAATATAATTTCCGAACAATATCAATTCAGGTACTTACTCACTTTTAGCTTTTAATATATTAAATAGTTCTTGTACTATTATTTTTATTATGTGGAAATAGGTGGGTTGAGTTATACTGAAAGAGTAGGTACGTAGCAGTAGTAACGCCTTCAAAACGTAGAAAATATGCCTAGGAATTGAAGCCAATTCTCGTATTATTATACGTACCTACCTAATGTGCTGACAACTTAAATAGGTACTAATATGAAGATAAAAGTTAAAGTTCATCCTATACACAATACACATCACACTGCTGGGCATAGCTGTTCTATTATATCTGAGATGGGTTTTGGGGACAAAAAAGTGTGCCCCAATGCGTGTTGGCAGACTTCACGTAAGTTCGAAATATTTGTCATTAATTCCTTTCACCCCCTTGCACTTCGTAAATAATTTAAATGCTGATTAAGAAGGAGTAAGATTTATACTTAGATGTGCTGTTTGTCCCTAGTGCGCTAGAGAATCTACTATCCCATATCATATAGACAGGGGGAAATTGAAACAGGGGTGGACCCACAGCACCTTTCTGATAACAACTTAATAGGTAGTAATAGAAAACTGCTGTTGCCAAGTGCCAATACGTGCTGCCAAGCGTAACAACTATGCCAAATATACCATCTGACAATATCTATGGAGTAAGCCTGGGTTTAGCATCTCTTTTATATTTATATAAACCAATAGGATCGATGGTCTAGAAGACAAACGTATTAATTACAGAGATTGTAATTTTTCAGGAGAGCAGTTTATATAAATTTTAAAACTTGTCCCGTTAGTATGTAAAGCTGAGTAGTGTAACCATAGAATTATTTGAGTGTAACCTATTGAATTAAACTACTCCGTAAAAGTAGTTTTATTCAATGTGTAGTGTTTGTCATTTCTATCATGGGTAGATACCTAAGCGACTTTGATTATTTTGTCTCGTGACACGTTTCTTATTACAAAATGTACAGGTTCGGTTTAGACCGAAAGAGGTGGAATTATAGCTTTCCGACAAGTGCGGAAGATACGGCCTTTTCATTTAGAATCAGAATGTTTGGCATTAAAAAGTGTAAATCACCAAACTTTTGTATTTAGCACGTTTGTCTTCTAGACCATCGATATATCATTGGTTCAGTTGTTGACTGTAATGAATTAATGAATGTGTGATGAAAAACATGGAATAGAAAAACTATGTTGCTCAATTAACCTTGAACGATTTAAATTTAGAAGTTTTTATTTCACCGCGATCTCAGTACAATTGCGAGAATCACAAAAATACCTCGCGTTGAACAGTCAGCTGCTGCGTAAGGTCCCTACCTATCTACACGTCATCCGGTGACGCCATATCGTACGATGTTTTTAATCGTCATAATTACTCGCGCGATCTATGTGCACTGCGTAGATACCCACAAAATAAAACAATAATTATTTTGTTTGGAATAAACCCATATCTTCGCACTTATTACTTCTTATATCTACTTACTTATCAATCATTATGTTGGAGAAGTACTCATTATCTTGAGGCGCTTACGCTACGTAGGTACTACGTTTATTGTATTTATCGCAAATGACGAGAATGCCTGTATAGTAAATAATTTTAATAATTCATTAATGGTAGCGACAACGAGTAAAGAAACCGACCATGTGATTGTAGCGAGTAGGTATTAGTTGCCAATCGTCATATTTTATGTTTTTTTAGGACAATTCCAGCTTTTCGGAGTGTCCTGAAATATTTAACCATTTCACTGCCCTGTGAATAGAGATACCTTATGTCAAGATTTGTACTGACTTCGAATCTGCGACGTGGGTTTATCGCAAACGTGCACAAATGCAATAATTGATTTGGTTTTTTTTACGCTTGTCAAGTAGGTACGTTTGCAACAAAATGTCAGTACCTACTTTTCAATGGAAACCAGTTTATTCGTCAGGACTCCATCATATTTTCCATCTGGTAACCCTACTCGTGAGTCTTTATATTATGTTTTTTGAGCGAACAGGGCAGATGTTAAGTAGCTTCATGGGTTTTTAAAGCGTTGAAGGAAATTGGTGAAGCTGAAAAATATTATAACTAAACAAAGTATTTTTTTTCTCTATTAAGTGGATGTTGTCAGGGGCGACAGAGGCAAGCAGGAGATTGGCAGCAGCATCTTGCTGATAAAAACTCAAAATAATTATAAAAAAAAGTTGCGGTTGCCAACCTCGTGTGAACCCGAATGCCAAGTATGCAACTATGGCAAATATCTCCCAAATGAGCAAAGGTATCCCTCAATAACATTTGGGAGTGGCCTTTGCTCAGCAGTAGACTTTTGATAATCTGTAATGGTGACAATATTTTTGATAAACAAAACAGCAGTTATTACTTACTTAATATTAAATTATGTACTACTATTCCTAAATTAATATTTTTATATACTTACTAATTAAACCGAAAAAACTCAACAAGCAATGTATAATAAAATTGTTTTATTGCGTCGTGTTTTTAAACCGACATGTCCTGGTTTTCTACCTTTGAATTCTGGACTACATATTCATAACATATCAGTACGTAGTACAATATCGGACAATAATTAGTAATACCTACTTAAAATATTACATACTTACTTACAACATAATATTTTATTGCACTTATCGCCATGCTTCAGACGTTCAGTAGACGGTGTTTATATTTATTACCTATATAGGTACCTCATGTTCTGCAACTATGTTGATAACAAATATTTACGCCTACTTTCTAAATCTAAACCGATTTAGATTACAGTCAACAGAGATTTTTTTATTACAATCATTTATTTTCATTTAGCAGTCTCAGTCGGATTAGTCTTAGATTAGGATTAGATTAGCTGTCTTATCAATTATAAGTTTCCCTACCTACCCTTAGCACAGAATAAACTTAGGTGCTCTAAAATACGTGGAATTGCGTGGAATTATGAATTACAAAAAAGTAATTTTAACCACGTTACACCTAACCAATAAGGTGCATTTTAGTGTGTAAGGTGATGTGTCGTCACATCACGCCACCTTTCGTTAGTCAATAGGCGCGCGATCCGGCTCGCCGCTCTCAGCATGGACTAGGCGTGACCTCGCTTTGCTAACCTTAATTAAATATTAAGAATGACAATGCGTATTATAATACACCTTTATCGCTGATGCATATGTTTGCTCACACATGTTGTATGTGAAAGTATAGCACTCATGTAAAATCGTTAATTTCTATTATAAAATGTATAAAATTGTTCTCATGCTCTTTTTAGGTTTCTATGAATATAATGTATACATTTTGAAATATTCCATGCAAATTGCTTGATTTAATATAGTTGAAAATTGCGTATAAATAAAATGTAATATGCGTCTTAAAGTCCGTGCCGTATCGCGCACGGTTAAATTGACAGACAGAGTAGGGAAGGTTCGAGTTGGAGAGATGGGGACGTCACGTCATTGACTCATTGCCTCATTCCTCATTCGCGAATAGCGCACAGTGTCGGCTGTAGACTACGTTTTGATTCTGTCTGACATTCAGTTTCGTTTCGTGATCGTGTATAACACAAATGTATAGTAATCACGTATGTTTACATTAAAGTGATCGACGCTTCCTATTTTATAAATAAATATTACCGACGTTCAAGGACACATTATAAAAATTATTTTATAATAAAATCTACAGATGCAATAAAACCAGATGTGGAGGTGCATAAATCGAGTAATGGTTCAAATGAACCTGTTGTAATTCAGAAAAATCCTGTAAGCAGTGAGTATTCAGTAAACCTTATCCATTTATTTTGTTAATACCCGTTTCCCATCCCAATTTATAATATTTTCGATTCTGTTCAATGTTGCGGTGATCATAATATTTTTAAATTTTTTTAAGCCAATTCAAATCTGAACTAATATTAATAAAAAGAAGTTATAAAAATTTCACTACAACTTTGAACTAGGTTAGCTTTACTAAATAGATCAATTGGTATATTTTTTCTGATATGGTACCCCCTAGGCGACTTTCCTTATAATTTGGTGATTGGTGATAAATAACATCTCAATATCTACTAACATTATGGTTCAGTGAATGTGCATCCAATATCTGTGTGTCTTCAACATGGGAATCATTGATGATTTGCAGGGCATGCCAAGTTTCTACTTTACAATCTGATGATTTACGCTCTTGAAACGGGATTATTAATAAATACCTTCAACACATATGGTAAATTTAAAAAGAGAAGGGTTAGACCTTCTCTTGAAGTTGGGACGTGCTGTTGGAGATTTAATAGACGCGACGGAAGACTCTGAAGCGGTAAAACCTACGCCCACGCATAATACAGAAACTGAGCCAATGAAGGCGTATTGGGAAAGTGACAAGAAACAACTAGATCATAAAAATCAGCCCTTCATAGATCTTTTTCTGAAGGGGGCTGCACTGGAGAGGATACCAGATGCAACCGAAGAGCCCACCAAAGAGTCTCATTACAATTTGGAAAGACTGAGGCAATTTTTGCCAGATGCCATAACATATAATATTAAGGGTAAAGTATTTAGTATTATTACATAAAATTATTATTCTACCAAAATGCTTATAAAGAAGACACACAGATTCAGTGTAAAATTGTGCGCTGGAATCATGTAATATTTTTTTATTTCTAACTTCCACTTTCAATTTGTATAATTAACAAAATGTAGTCTTTTATGGTTTTTTCTTTAATTTTATAACTATTTAAAACCAGAAAACAGTTTCTTCTATGAAATTAAATTCAAATCAAACACCTACGTAACATACAACATTCAGGCTTTGTCATGTGTGTGAGGCTATGGGATAAAGATCTTCACGCTTTGTCACCGTTTAATTCATGCAATTGTTGAGTATTCCTGGTATTGTGTTTTATTATCATTTGTTTGAAACTTCCTTCCTCTATAATCCTATCCCGCTAAAATCTCACTTTTGTGTCACAAATAAAAAATGAAGGAGCAAATAAGCAAAAACAACTGAATTTTTAAAATTAAATGAGAAGCATAAATATTACCTCAATATTAAAACAGTTAAATATCATCGCTAATGTTTAAATTTGTTGATATGGTAAAACATATTACTAATAATTTGACCATTTACTAGCACATATTAGCATATGTTAGCACAGCATAGAATTTTGTATTTAAAAATCATGTATGTATGTTAATTTTTTATAACCTTCCCTTACAACATAAATTTTTGATAAATAAGTATCTAAATTACTTTCTTTGAAAAATAATATATCAGTAGATAAGTCAGAAAACCTACTTTAGATAACCACAATGCTAATACTTGTCTTTATACATTATTGTAACTATGCCAAATCTAGCGCATAATTAAGTAAATCTCTTTTTAAATTAAAAAAAGAATTAAAAGCTAAAATGTTCTTGGTTATAAATAAATGTAGCCACATAAAGACTATGAAGATAAACTTTATTTTATTTCAATTTTACATATTATCATTATATAAAAACTCAAAAGAAAAGTATTTTCCATAAGTAGGTACTATAGACATCTCTATTCTATAAAATTTGTATTTTCTATGCTAACATTATCCGTCTTGGTGGTGGTTTGTCTAACAATTAAGAATGGGTGTTTTAACATGTTTATCTTACAACTAAAATACCTCTGTGTTGAAAAATTTAATCTTAATAATTTATTAGACAAAACTTTTGTTTTAGTCATGTATCAAAGAAATTTTTTTTTTAATTTTGTGTCTAGTATTATGAATTTGCTTGTAATTTGGGATTTTTATTAGGTGTTCCAGAAACTCCTAAAGCTGGCACCGGAATCTCAAGCAGCGGCCGCGATGCGGGTGTCGTTGCAGGCATCGTGATTGCAGTCATCACAGGAGTTGTCATACTAGCCGCATTGGTAACTATTCACTGTCCCATTAATATTTAGCATCTACATTATGATATATTTTGAAACAAATAATTTAGGTATACTAGCTGGACACATTGCTCCGGCTGGTACTACAACTACTTACATTGCAGAAAGCTTGTGTTTGTTTGTTGCATATGTATGTGGTAGAGCCATGTTACAGCTATATTATGGTTGTAGTATGAATGGGTCAGCTTGACCAGGGAAGGACCACGCTCTCACAGAATACCAGCGTAAAATAGCGGCTCAATGCTGCTGTGTTTCATATGGAGACCCGATTCAACCGGAGACATTTTTTACTAGATACGAGGCATTCTACTTTTGATTCTTAATTGACATTAGATGTACCTAGATGTCTATGGGCCACAGCATCCACTTACCATGAGGTGCGCTGTATGCTAGCTTACATAATATTGTTTAAAAAAGTTATTAATTTTGTATTTATAATATATTATGAAGTTTATTTTTTTAAATCACTGTTGTAGTTTTGCCACAACTCAAGCTGAGTAATTACCTTTATTGGAATGCCTTCGTCATATTAAGCTTTCGTATTTTTAGTATATTGTCTTGTACACGTCAATGGTCTATGCCAACATAGTTTCTTTCTTTTGATTAACTGCTCCGAGAAACTAGATAAATTTAAAAAAAATATCAGATGACCAAAATTAATTATTTTTAAATCTCACAAGGGAAATATAACTATTTTACTTCAATTATTAGGGGTTGAGATTTCTTTCTTTGAACTTCAACTCTAACTGGTCCATTGAGTCCAACGTCAAAGCAGCCGAAAGGAAACTACGTGTCCCTGCAGAAATACGACGTTACCACAGCAAAACATTGCGGGACAGCTTCTTACCCTAGCAACGCAAGTCTGTTCGTGCCTAGAGTACTGCTGTTACGTATGGGCTATTGCTGCACAATGTCACCTAGCAGCGCTGGACTTAGTGGAAATACTTATTGGTGACCTTGAATTTGTTAAAATTAACCTTGTCAAGCGATGCAACCACAGGCGCAGAGTAGCCGGCCTCGGTGTTCTACAGAACTATATCCCGGAAAGTGTGCGCAGGAATTATACGAAATAATCCTCCCTCCCCTTTTCACCAACGGACAACTATAAAGTGGGCGGGACTCCACCCCTTTGTTGTCGATATTCCACGCATACTAACCAAACTGCAACCATTATTTCTCAATATCTCAAAAAATACGTCACTACCTATTCCTATGCTTATATGAAAATATAATTGATTTTGTCAGATAGTTACTTCAAGAATTTCAAAAATCCTTCTGATATTAATAGGATAATTTATTTATCCGTTATACAAATAACTTTTAGTTAAGATCGAATTCAATATGCAAAAACGACTGATATTTTAAAAACATATTTTTAAGTAATGACAACAATATGAAATATAATTGTCATGTAGCACACTTGTATTAAAATAATTTTAAAACGGTTACTGTTTACGTAGGTAAAATAGGTATATGAAAACCGGTTCAAATATTATTCCTTTGGATTTTAGATTAACTGATGTAAATTTTTGAAAATAGAAAGTGTGTCGAACTCATATACATCGCCATCCAATGACAAACAAAAATATTCTACGCACGCAGGCAGTTGAGTCTGCTTTTGTGTCCTTGCTCACAATGCTTTAATTTAATGTAAGTTTGATGAACGGCTCATAGAATCACTACGTCCACTGTTCAGAGGTTAATTGTTGACATACACGTAAATCATGCTGCTTTATTTTATTTCATTATTAACAATCGTCCATTTTATTCATAAAGAAAACCTAGTATTGCATCAACGAACACTGTTCAATCAGTTTTTATTAATAATTTCAAAACCGATTATTCATAACAAGCTATTTCTTCAAGTCCCACCATTGCATAAAAACAATAACAATGGTAATTAAATATTCATCTCATCGTCAGTATATGGCAGTTTATAATTAATTACCTTTGAAAAGCTCATCGGTACAGTGCGCCATACACACAACTGATATCGCATCAGAGCAATAATTGATGAATCAATTGCTTTATATACTGTAATTGAAGACTAATTGACATCAATTTTCTTAATTTGTCATCATGGTTCTTATAAAGCGAAACAAAGCCAAAATTGTCTTTAGATAATATCGATAAAAACATTTATAGCCCGTGTATATTACATTATTGTCATTAATTACACATAATGGATATATCTAGAAAAGAACAAACAAAGCCTTCATGGTGACTCTTTAATGGCAATTCTTTAAATCATACAAAAGCTAAGCTGTTACATGGCTCACAAGGTCGAAGTTTTCTTGTTTATAATAATAATAAAATATCAAATGAACTTACCAAGTGAACTTCGACGCCAATTATTGTGAACGGCTTCGTTCGACGCGCGACGCACGGGCAAGCCTAGTACATAGAGGTGCTACTACAATACGTAAACAATAAATCGCAAAGAATGAAGCCGTGAAATACTAAACTAATATAGTGAGGCTAAGTAATTGGTTCTGTTTACGTAAATAAAAGGCCAGAATAGGAAGAAGGTGATGTTTTTTCCGCAAGGACTTTCTAATTTACGTTCACAGCTCCGGGTTAAATTCTGACGAACACAAATACAGATAATAAGTTCAATACATTAATACATTTTATACACCTTAGAAAAAAGTCCATGAATATATTTACACAACGATAAACATTTTTAATTAATATAACCGATCGATTGCAGGGCCGTAGCTGGGTGAGGGCTTGGGGAAAATAAGAAAATGGATTTCGAATTTAAAACCTTCGCTATGTTAAAATTATTTTACCTCAGCTAGCATCTTGTAATTTAATTTGTTCATAACTTCTAATACCTATAGCTTGTTTATGTATGTATGTATACACTAAGTACCTAATGCATTAGACCATAGATTTAGTAACTAACTAACCTCTACTATATCTATGATTAGACGCTCTTTGGCGATCTCTCGTATTTGAAAGAAAGATAAACCAAATATGTATATTTATCTACATGATATCTGTTAATGAAATGGCAAAAGATTTCAAATGTAGTTGAAGATGATAATTTAAGCTCGTTTTAACTATTGACATATTTATTTATTTGCGTAATATAATAAATAACATACAATGTTTATAAATACAATGCGTAATTTTAAATTTAAAAAATTAATCATAAGGTACTATGGTATAGTACCTAAACGCTTAGGTAAATTTTTGGCTTTGATTGCCCCGGATGGATAACAACCCATGCTACTTTACTGGACTAACTGATTTACCCGTAGTACCCAAATCCATCTTTAATTGTAGTTTTACATTTTTGATTTTGAAAGATTACATGATGTCACATTTTTTCTGGAATTTCTTTCAACAGGTTTACCTTGACAATTTAAATATACCTAAGGCCTTTTTCAGCCTTAAATTAAATTCTGGTCTAGCTAACTATAGATTAGGCGATCGATTAGTTAGAGCTATGGCCCTAATCGATAGTTGTAATTAGTTATTCGAATACTGACATTTACGCTAAAAGAACTTTAGCAAAATTATTGTTTATTTTCGCAGATCGCTGTTGTTATGTACCGTCACTACGTGCACCGTAACGTCACATCTATGAATTTCGACAATCCGGTGTACAGGAAGACGACGGAGAATCAATTCGCTTTGGAACAGAATGGGTACGCGCCAGGAAGCAAGTTGTACCCGAGCACCGTCGGAGAAGAGGTGAGAGCACTTACCGCTATGGAATGCACGCTCAATATACAAAACAGTCTTAGATAAGTCGCGCAAACTTAACTCTACTCTTATTTATGGAGACGATTACTAAGTCAGTGTTTTAGATCGCCGAATCTGCATTGATTTCCTTACATTTTTAAACTACTAAACATTAGTTATAAACTATCAAACACCTGTACCGATGTTTACGTACAATGAATACAAGACCCCGAAAGTTTTTGGCCAAAATGTATTGTACATAGCAACTCTATAGGATAAAAATACATTAAACGTATGCAAAGTCTGCCTAAGACATTTTAAATTCGATGTATTTAGAATTATATTTACTAGATATCATTTTAAGGAATTTATAGAGAATATTTTCGTTTAGTGTTAAGAGTTATGGCAGAATGGATGTGCCAACATTTTTACCGTATCAGTATTACATGATAGATGCCAAATTAATTAAGTATATAAATCTAGGTTAATGTTGTAAATATTCCCTTTGAATAGCTGTTAATTTTGTCAATTGTAATGTGGTCATTTTGAAAATGATTTACTGCTGAGCAATTTTACTTTTCATGCAATGCCATGCGAGAATGTTTATTGGTAAGTATGTCGATTATGTAGAAGTTGGAAATAGTTTCTTTTTAACACTTATACTTAATTCATAAGGGTGAGACATCAGTGGAGAGCGTTTGCAGAGGCACGTCGTTCGGCGAGCATGATGCACAAGCTCTTGTATTTAAAATGTCAGCCAAACGCGCCGATAAACAGCTCAGCAAATTCAGCAAGAACCATTGACATCTGGGACTTGTAGGTGTATGCTACCTTTACATCAAGCTAGCAGTAAAGTAACATTGTAAATGAATAATTGAGTCAAATAATAGGTCAGTCAGTAAAATAGTGTAAGAAAAAAGAGAAGAAGTAAGAGAGACCAAGGATTGGCCGGACCTGGTAACTGGTAGCCTACTAGTGTCCATGCTACAATAATATGTAGTTTTATAGACAAGAAGCAGGCATGGATAGAAATAAGAGATAGTAGAGCTCTGCTACGCCACATGCTCACCCAACAACGCATCTGCATTTGGTTTCTTTATTGAGGATAGATGTAGGTGTCTATGGGTCACAACAACCACTTACCATCAGGTGGACTGTGTGCTCGTTTGTCACCCTATCCTATATTAAAAAAAATACTCTTCACTGAAGTCTCAGGAAGACAAATCCACTGCTGAACATTGGCTTCCTTACTATGCCACAAAACACATTTTTAAGCCACCCATCAACTTCCGCAATAGTAAGGGGCGCCTCTTTATTATCCTGGTCCCAAGAGCCACATATGGTACATTGCTATTGTATCTGGGAACCGGACAGTTAATGTGTTAAAGGTCCCGACCATTTCCATTTCAATTTACTGATCTGTTGGGCTTAATGTGTTGGTTAATGTGATTCTACAATATCTTCGTTACGGATGTCGTACGATTGTTTGTCATTGAAGTCCCCGAAGGAATTGTTATATCTATCTGGAATACCATAGAGCAAAAATCTTAATGTATATTTCTTAGGGAACACGTTCCTTAGTCATTCTTTAGCCTTAAATATTTAATCCCATTATGGCGATAAACTTCAAAAAAAAAGGTGTTTACTATTATGATCGCCTTTTACCTGCCCAGGGGGACGATCGCGACAAGTTATAAAACTTAGGGTAGACTATCCATCATTGAATGCTTTAATGAGATTTAATGTAATGAATATTATTGACCAATTGCAACTATTATTTTCAGGCACAAGAACCACTTAACACACCCGGTACTAATGACTATGTGTAGTGCTAGAGCTGGCACTAAATATGTTGTTATATCATTAAATGTGAAAAGAAAAAGAAGGACGTGTGGTACTCGAAAGTGGTGTATTAAACCAGTGAACGGTACATAGTAAATGTTTTCGTAGTGAATCGGATAAATTGCTACCATTATAAGTGCAAAGAATACTGGTGCAACAATGCCAAGTTGTGTTTGCCGCGTTTTATGCTAAAAAGGATCTCAAAATTTCGATCATATGATATGTAAGCATTAATGTCAAAATGTATGAGTTGAAATTAATATTCTTCTGTTTGAACTGAGATCTTGCTTTCGTATCGCAGATTAATATAATAAAGTATACGTTTTATATTCTAATTTTTTATTATATGAATTGTATAAAATCATCAATCGATTGTTGTAAAAAGCGATAAATATCCAGCTCATTATCATTATTTAAATCAAATATACATTTTTGTAATCAGATTTAGTTAGGGAATATGTTGTAATGTAATATAAGATGTGTTTTATCAAAATAATTTAAAATTCGAATATTATGTATTTAAAATTTACATCTTGTAGATAAAGGTACTTATTAGAGAAATTAACAAGATGCACACAATATAAATTTTACGTTTTATTTTTATATAAACATGTTAAAATTATGCTTTAAAAAGTATATTTATTATACTTTTTATTTCTTTATCTGCACATTATCTTTGTACTTATTTATTATTTATTAAAATTTTAAAATTAGTGTTTTAAAATTTGCTTATTGATGTTTTATATATAGACAAGTAGAGTATTTGCAAAGCTGTAATAACTGTGCCAAATTTTATAGTACTTCCGCCATGAAATTGATGTCTTTTGAAATGTTCTTGTAGAAATTTGTGGTAGAAATAAGTGATGGAGGTTAACGAGCAATTGTATTTATTTCAATATACTTTATGGAGCGTGTTATATCATTAATACAGTTTGCAATTTTTATATATTTTATGTGAAGGTTGTGTTTTTCGATCCAATATATTTAACTATGTATTTTATTAGTAGCAGTCGCTTTTAAATAGGAAATGTGATTTGATTAAAGAAAATCCTGCCAAATCCTCTTATTCTACTTTAATTATAAATGTATTCGGTAATGTAATGCAATTACAAACATTTTAATACTTGATGCACATTTCATACGAAGCTCATTAAGAGTGGTCACCAAACTATTGTGTAAATATTGTCAGTAAAATATAATGTAAAATGTGTTTTGTTTTTTTTTTTTTTACCTGCCCCAAAACCTTTATAAATGTTTTAATAACGAGAACATTTTTTTAATATTTATTTCAAATGATTATTCCAGACTACTCATTGTTGCCACACCAGACTAAATATTTTAGTAGTAATATATAGCTATATACAGGGTTATTTTTCAAAGAGTTCAAATATATAAATTAAACTAAGAGTTAAACTAAGTTCAAATATATAAATAATGATATACCGTTTTTGCAAATACAAGTAAATAAGGCTTATACTTTCATTTGAAATTATCCAAAATTGAATGTGATTTATGGGCAACAAAGTTTTTGCCTACCAATCGAACCTTACGAATGTGTGCCTGCGTAGTAAAATCAGTTTAAATAATACATCACCACACATTTAAAATGTAATAAGAACAGAATGAGATTTTATTTCATTAATTTTTCTTCACCATTTGCCTATATTACTTATACTGAACCTTCTCTGTAAATTTGGCCGATTATTGCAAAATAACCCTGTATTGCAACTAAAATGAATAACGTCTATTTTCATCATTATAATTGACCAGCAAACAAAGTAAGCCCTCAATAGACTCAAATGATCACCTGATCAACATAATTTCTTATAATTTTAAATATTTCTCGATTGCTATTGATACCAAATGAATATCGGGCTTAAAGGGGATTACGAGGCTAATCTCGAAATACCTATTAAAAATAATGTTATGGTCCCCACTCACGGTCAGTTAAACTGAACAGTTTAACTGACGTACATCCAAAAACCGACCGTGAATGTGAAATCTTAAGTTGAAATTTTTAACTGAAGGCAACACACGGATTTTATTCGGGCGTGCTGTCAGTTAAACTGCTCCGTTGAACTGACGTACATCCAAAAACTGATCGTGAATGTGAAATCATAAGTTACAATTTTTAACTGACGGCAACCCACGTATTTTTCCGGGCGCACCGTAATCCGCTGGCTTCAGTTCGTTTCCATTATTGGTAAGTACATACTTTTCTTAGTAGCTTTTATATATATTTTATAATTTTTTATAACATGTTTTAAGATTTTATATATTTTTTTTTATTAAAAAAAACGTTACCCCCACACTAGGATTTTCTCCTGTATCGCGGAGGCAGTTTACAAATACAAATTGCACAAGGACAAACATCCAGACCAGGAACAATCATTTGTAGGCCATACAAGTACTTGTTCCGTGCGGGATTCGAACCCGCGCCGCAATTCATTGCTAAGCCACTGCGCCACGGAGCCGTCATATATATTTAGAGAAGTTGGTTTGACAGAGGATGGAGACCAAGGTGATGGTAATGATGTCACCTTCCTTATGGTGGACTCAGTAAGGTGGGTAAAGGTTCTCAGTGATGCTACAACGTAGAACCATCGTGTTTGGACTCATTTTCAAATAGGTAAATGGAGACCTAGATGACTGGGATGATATCACCTTTATGTTGGTGCAATCCGAAGGTGGGTATAGGATTTCAGTGACGACACTAGATAGAAAGACCGCGTTTGAACTCATTTGAATGGGCTCATAAAGACCTAGGTGACTGTTATGACCTCACCTTTTTGATGGTGCAATCCGAAGGTGAATATAGGATCTCAGTGGCGGCACTAGATAGAACGGTCGTGTTTGAGCTCATTTGAAAGGGTTCATAAAGACCTAGGTGACTGTTATGACCTCACCTTTCTGATGGTGTAATCCGAAGGTGGATATAAGATCTCAGTGGCGGCACTAGATAGAACGATCGTGTTTGAGCTCATTTGAAAGGGCTCATAAAGACCTAGGTGACTACTGTGACCTCACCTTTCTGATGGTGCAATCCGAAGGTGGATATAGGATCTCATTCATAAAGACCTAGGTGACTGTTATGACCTCACCTTTCTGATGGTGTAATCCGAAGGTGGATATAGGATCTCAGTGGCGGCACTAGATAGAACCATCGTGTTTGAGCTCATTTGAAACGGCTCATAAAGACCTAGGTGACTGCTGTGACCTCACCTTTCTGATGGTGCAATCCGAAGGTGGATATAGGATCTCAGTGGTGACACTAGATAGAAAGGTCGTGTTTGAACTCATTTGAAAGGGCTCATAAAGACTTAGGTTACTGTTATGATCTCACCTTTCTGATGGTGCAATCCGAAGGTGGATATAGGATCTCAGTGGCAGAAAACTAGGCCATCCTAACTATTTCCATTACTAAAAACCGATAAGCATTATCTGGTCATCATAAGACCTTCAGAATGTGCCCATGCCCACGGATTTTTTTGGGTTCACCATAACAGGAGTGCAAGTTAGTATCAGTGGGGTGTCGCCCACTCTACAGATAGGTAATTTAATAAACAGATAAAAATAAATAACACATTTATTAAATAAATAAAATTTACCATAATGAGTAAAATTATCATAATATCTGACCCATTTCTTAAAAGTATCTTAATACTGACCTTATCATGAATAAAAATATCTTTTGAAATGTTAATATAGAGGAAACGTTATTTATATACCTACATACGGAACGGATTTCATTTCTCGATCGATGAAGCCGCAGCCGTGCGCGTTTAGTTGGCGTGACTCCTATAAATTACAAATATCATTTCCTATCTATTAACTAGCTGTTCCCCGCGACTTTGCCCGCGTGTTATTTATTACGATTGGATTTCATGGGTTTTAATTTTTTTGCATCGAACCCTAATTCTTTTTCTAAATTAAAATTAGCCTAAGTTCCTCCATATAATATCCGTTATCTGCCACTGAAAGTCTCGTCAAAATCGGTTCAGTCGATTCGGAGATTAGCCGGAACAAATAGACAGACAGACAGAAAGAAAGATAGACAAAGATTTTAAAAATTGTGTTTTTGTTATAGGTACCGTATGTACTTTCATATGCATTTAGTAAAAAACTATTATTTTGACATTACATATAGACACTTCAATTTGATTTATTTGTATAGATATATATATTAATAGTCAGGAAATGCTGTTAGATAAGTCTCCTATAAAGTGATATTTTATAGGAGTCACACAAACCAAACGCCCACGGCCACGCCCCACGTTTGAACTAGGACTGTTGATAAAATATCGATATATCGAAAAATCTATTATTTAGTATACCGATATTTATTTCTAATATTTTTGACGACATATATTGAAATATAAGTTTGATATTGAAATATAGATATACGACAGTCGATATATTTTTTTAAAATAATTTAATTTTTTATTCTTTCACGTAAATCATATAATCTACAACACCATCGTAAACTTAAATTCTAATTCTTGATGGACTCAATCTACTATAGGACTTTATTTACACTATATTATGTTTTTCATTTTTCCCCAGTTCATTTATTTACTTATTATCTTAAAAAGAAATGTAATTTTGTAAAGTATATCTCTGTGATATTAAAATCACTATAATTTATGAAACTTAGTACTACTTTACTTACTGTTAGTTTTGGCAGGAGCTTGACCATTGACGGATGGTTGCTCCTGTTTTATCGTTCAAATAATCGTTTGAAGTGGATTTTTATCAAAGTGATGCGATTATGTGTATTAAGTGTCTGCAAATGTGAGCTATTAGAGAAAACGACGAAATAAGTGCTTCGATGTTGGTATAAGCCTCAAGTTATTTTAATCGCTTAGGCGCCTTATGATTTACTTCCGTGCTATCAGAAATAGCTTTTAAATACTTGATTTCTTCAGCTGCATTCAAAGCAACTGAACGAATTACTTCTACAATCAATCTTTTAGTGCCCAATAATTGG